ATGATTGTCTGCAGTGTGTGGTGTACATGTAAGCTTTTCAAGTCCAGTGTGGTCTCTGACACAGGACAGTTTGCATACTAGAAGTAAAAGGAGGCTAAAGGTTATTCTCTTAATAGGAAAAGATGGATGGGTGTGCAGTGTGGGAGCCCCTGTCTGCCCTTCCAGCTCCATGTGCAGTGTGGGAGCCCCGGTCTGCCCTTCTAGCTACATATTCTGGGTTCTGTTGAAGTAAGGATGGGAAAGCTAGAGAGTGCTTTAGACTACTCCAGAACCTGAGGTTTAGAAACTATCTTGGTAGTCAATGTTTGGTTTTCCTAGCCAGTTCAATCCTCTTTTCCAATACCTGTGTGTGTGTGTGGGGGGGTCTCACTCCTGAGAATGATGAGCATGGAAATACCATTCTTCACCAGCATTCGGCCTTTCCTCCCCCCCCCAACTCTTTCTCATAGCAAATAGAAATCACTTTCTGTGACTTCTACACCTAACCTTTAAATCTATATTTCACTCTAGACAAACCAAACCCATAGTGTTCCTTCACAAGCCTTCTTTCAAAGTGAGTTTCCCCCATTGGCGGCTACATGACAAGAGTTGGCCTATCTGCCTTAATGAAACCCAAAGGGAACATTATCTTGAATAATTACATGAGTACACGCAGCAAGTTCAGGGGCTGGGTATACCATCTCGTGGTTTTGAAATGTGTGGTAAGAGACATCAAGAGTTGACAGATTAGTTGGGGATTTGTCAAGAGTATTAATTACAGACTTGGAAATCCTGGTTAGTGACAGTCTGTCTTGTCACATCTTGCAAATGTGATCAAAGTCATTTCAGTACTTATTTGATGATACCTAACCACAGTGTGTGGAGAACGAAACTTTTCATTAGAAATCATTGGGAAATAGGGTGCACTTTGAAGGAAGAGGGCCTTGAATTGCCCTCCCCTCCACACTTCTGCCTTCTCTTCTTCTTTCTTTTGGGGAGTCCCCATTGTTTCTGAACACCTGAAATGTTTTGGGGATGACTGATACAGGGTGGGGGGAGAGTTCTTTTTAAAATATGGATAGCACAGAAGGACAAAGTGGGGTCCATAAAAGTGGTTTTTAAAGCCACAAAAAGAGACTATGAAGCCTGGAGGTTGTTGTTATTCAGTCAGTCAAAGAAGACATGTATAGCCTAATGAAGACTTCAAATGTCGGAGGACAGTATGAAGTTGCTTAGGGGAAAGGAAAACAGGAGGCCTCTGTCCTTGTTCAGATCTAGAAAAATAATCCTTTATTTTGGCTTCCTTATAGGGGTGAGTGGGTGGGTAGGAAGGTGCTGGTGTCTAAATCATAGAAAATGAAATAGAAACACAGCCCTGGTCTGCAACTTCCCTCCCTTCTGGGAAGTCTGTCCTGATGTGCCTACATTGTCTAGCAGAGTGGGCCGACCACTCGTTGATTTTGCGCAGTTGCAGAGGCCTGAAAGCGACTAACCGAGCCTTGGTTTGTTTGGTGGTCACTGCAGTCTCTGGGACCCTGCTTACTGCCTTCCAGGCTCTGTTGGCACCCTTCTGGTGAGATGAAGCAGAACTTCAGAAGTTCTTGTCAGTTGCCTCTGTGCGCCAGAGGGTGGCACTCCAGTGGTGGAGAGGAAGGGCGGGAAGGAAGAAAGGAAGGAGAGAAGATCGCGTTCGTTCTCAAACCTAGGTTTCTAGTTATCAAGATATCTGAGCAAAGAGCCGCTACCCTCAATCTGTTAACGGGAAGGTAGGGGGAGGACCTAGGTTTCAGCCCGACAGGGAGTTCAGAGACTTAGAGAATTTTAAAGAAGACACAGCTTGTTTAGAAACAATAACTTCCTATGTTGTGGGGAACACAAATTTTCTGCACTTCTGAGGGCGCGCCCACATATGACCTGTCCCTCTGTGTCATGTTTTGCAGTTGGTGAATTTGTGCGAGTCTGTGAAGGATGACGCCCTGAAGGTGATCTCTGCCTTCAACATTCCACACACCATCATCCGTGCACCGATAGCAGAATCCCCCAACCCTGGGGCTGCAGAGGCCTTCTACAGGACGCCCACGCAGCCGCTGGTGCGGGATAAGGAGCGCTCTCGACTGACCAAGCTGTGAGCCAAGCGAGAAATGTAGTTTCCCATCTTCCAAGTATTTGGCCAGAGCTGGAGCAGAGGCCAAAGTGTCAGGTGCAGGGCAGCCACCTTAGGGATTTTAGTCCAGCTGAGGCTGGCAAGGAGCAGGACAAGTTGTCCGGGAGAGGGAGCCCTAGATGGATGCCCCAGTAGCACAGTGGCTTATCCGGATCTTGTAACCTCGCCTGGCCCCTTGCCTTGACTTCTCCCAGGCTTGGTCCAGGATCCCTAGACAATCATCTCGCCCACCGCACGGTGCCACCAAAGATCTCTACTGTCAGCGGTGACTCAGATTCCCAGAGACTTCGAAAAACTCTGGCGCTGGGTGAAAAAAAAAATCAAAACATAAAAATCAAACACCCTTAGGCAAAAGGGGTGGAGGAAAGCTCCACCCGCTCCAAGCTCGGGCAAAAGTTCAACAAGGGATGATTAGTGAATCAGACTTGCTCCAGCTCTGCGAGGAAATGCGCTGGCGAAAGAGGAGAGCTTGAGCCTAGAGTCGTCCTAGTCTTACCAGGTAGGCGATCCCTGGACTGCAGGACCATGCGCGACAACGGGTCCTCTGCGCTAAACTGTTACCCACCCTTCAGAAAAGCGTAGATGTGCGAAGTTTAATAAATTAAGCGATAGAAAGGTGCTCCTGAGGCTTGGAGAGGTAGGGATGGAGGGCCTGGGGAATAGTTGGAATAAAGTGGTTTTGGAATTTGGAGAGATTACACAGTCGGAAATGAATTTCTCATTTGTGTTGCCCAGTTTCGTTCTCGTCTCTAGCCGTCGTCTCGCTTCCCTCCCTCCACATCCGTTGGCAGCCTCGGGAAGGCACGGGTGACCCACTGGCCCTTCCCACGCTGCTCTTCTCTGCCGTCAAATCCGATCCCAGAAGTTCTCCCGGCACAGCCGGAGAAAGCTGCATGGGCCCAAAGGCCCGCGGCTACCTGACTTGAGGCACTTGCTGGAAACGCCCCTGACTGCCTTGTTCCCTGGTGATGCAAGAGCCTCCGCCTCCAGGCCGGCTTCCTAATTAAGCTCTAAATAAGAGCACATAGCCCAGCCCGTTGCTTTCCCCAGTGCCTGTATATTTTCTTTTAGCGTGTCCAGGGTTGCAAAATCGGAAGACTCCAGAGCAGCCCGCTCCTACAAAGAAACACCGGCGCTTCCCCAACCCCCATCTCCCCCCCCCCCAACCCCCGCCCGTATGGTTCTTTTCTAGTCTAGTCTGAGGCGCCTTGCTCCCCGCTGAGGGCGCAGAGCAGGCAGACTTGTTACTGGCTTTGGACTCCCAGAGTAGCAGCAGCAGGTTGGGCTTCATGGGATGCAGAGCGGCCAAGGCACAGTACTTGTTCACAACCTTGGTCAGGACAGACCTGGATCGGCAGTGTACTTGGCTGCATCTTCATTCCTGCCCTGTGCGATCTTGTAGCGATTACCCCTCACCTCCAGCAGGGGCAAAGCTTTTTGCCTTGAGCCCTCCAGCTTTCCTGGGAACAAATGGCTTCTTTGATCTCGCTCAGGATTCACCTGAGAACCAAGACTTTGGCCTGGGGCTGTGCTGTGTCACGGTGACGTTAGATCCGCTTATAAACACCAAAATGACCAAGATGGCCCAACGTTGGGTCGGCAGGCCGCGACACTTGTTCTACATGAAAAGGCTACGTCCTTCTTGGTGCCAGCCTGGATGCAGGTTGGGTAGCCCTTAAATCCAGTTTCCTTAATCCTCACGTGTGGGGTGCGGGAAGTTCCATGTCCAGATCAGCTTCTCTCGGCCGCTGCGGTGAGAGAAGGGGTTGGGGGTGGGGATGTACATGGCACCATTGACTTCGAGACTTCCGTTGGGGTCACGAAGGCCTCAGGAGGATCAGGGGATTTTTCGACCCCCTTATGGCTTTCCCAGCTCGCCCCGAACTCCGCTGCTCCGCGGTCGCCAGCTTCAGCGGGCCGATGGATAGACAGCTCCTGGCGGTACACTGTGAGCCCAATAAATTCTGAGGTTCCCAATACAGCACAGGGCACAACCGTCTTTCCTTGGTAGCCCCCCTCCTTTTCCTTCTAATTATTCTTTTCCCGTTAACTTTCTCATTCCCCTATTTTATTTGCTTGTCCTGCACGCCCATCGCTCCCCGAAGCTACCCTCGTCTCTCAACTTTGTCCTTCTCACCACCATCTCTGCCTCTTAAGTAACTGGGCACTGGGAAAACAAACGTATAAAACACAACAACAACAACACACACAGAGAGAGAACCAGGGAGAACCTAAATGAGGACAGAAGGCAGAAGGGAAGGCAGCGGCGATGAAGAGTCCCGCTTGAGGCGCAGCCGAGGAGGGGTGAGCATCTTGCTGATCTCGGTTCCCCCCACCCCGGAGGCCAGGAATTCTAGGAAAGGACAGTCAAAGGCCACTGCCCATCCTTGCACCAATCTAGTCCCCATGGTTTCGGGCTGAGAAGCTCCGCAAAGCAAGGGCGCAGGGGCTCCTCCTGAGGTTTCCAACAGGCGCCCGCGGCCAGGCTGGACACAGAGCAGCGTGCCCCGAGCGCCCCCTAAGTTCCGCTCTGCGAGGTGGCCGCCTCGGGCGGACGGGAGGGGCGGGTACATTCTGAGTGGAGGATGGGCGTGCATGCAGCTGCCCGCAGGCCAAGACACTAGGGTAAACACGCCGGGGTGGGCGGCGCACGCAAACTGCAGGACAGCCGGCGGGGCCACCCTCCCCACTACCTGTCGCAGCCTGCACGCGCCAGCGGCCTGGGGGCCGTGGGGGTGGGGCTTACCTTCCGGCTTGCCGGGGGCCGGACTGAGCGGGGGCGGAGCCCGCGGTGATTGGGCGCAGGAGCGGGGGCTCAGTAGGAGCTGAGTCGCTGGGGCAGACTGCTTTCACTTCGCTCCCCGCAGGCACTGGGTCACCAGCTGGTTGGAGCTCTGCGGTCCTTGCCGCCGTCGTCGTCGTCGTCGCCGTCACCGGATTCCTGCAGCCGCTCCGCGAGCTGTGTTCCACTTGGATTCACACCACCTCCGCTGCTCCCGCCGCCACCGCCTCGGCGCCCTTCCCCTGGCCCTCGTCCACCCAATGTCTGACTCTGATTCTCGGACTGAGAAACGCAAGGTAAACACTTCGCGATTCCCGGGGGGCAGGCTGGGGATAGATAGAAGACAGGCGCCGCAGCCACCTCTGCGGCTTCATCTGTCTCTGGTGTCGCACGTGCGGGTGGAGGCGCTGGTTTGTCCCGCGTGGCGCGCGGCTGCAGGAGACGAACGCTGGGAATCGGGTCGAGGTGCCTGCGTGCCAAGGCACTTCTGGGGAAGGGTCGTGGGTACAGAAGCTGGAGGCACTTAGCCGAAGACTGGGTTGGGCCCCGATGCCTCACAAGGTGCCGCTGAGGCATCTCTCGCGGGCCAGGAGGGCGCGTGGTCTCGGCTTGGAGCCGAGGTCCCGCTTCTTGGTGCCGGTAGTGCGTCCAACCGGGAAGCGTCGCCGCGACCCAGGCGGCCCGGGAGAAGTAGCCGCGCGGTAGCGGCGGGCGGGTAGATTTAACTATTCGCTGGCGCGGGTTCCTTGCGGAGATTTGAGTATTAAAATCACACGCGCCCAGTCTTTGCTTGTACTCATTCAAGCCAGTCTGGCCACAGTGGCCAATTTCGCCTTTCCGGATGTCCCTGGCGGCCCGGTTCTTTTTGCGAGCGTCCTGTGGATATTGAGGAGCACCGTATCTACAGGAGACAAGAGACCCCGTAAGCCCCCTCGGACCACTTAGGCTACGCGTGTTCCGAGCTCCAGCCAGCTGACGACCCTGTCTACTCCATCTAACCCGATCGCACCGGGACCCAGTCTCATAGGCTGGCAGACCCCTGAGCTCGCGAGCCTTTTGCCCCCGGGGCAGGCACTGCTTGTGAAAGGCTAACTGAATAGTGGGGTTGGAGGTCTAGATGTGCATGTCCGAGAACCGAGATGGTCGTTCATATTTGGTGCGTGTCGGTAGCACATTGGGGCACAGCAGGTGAAGTTGCTGAGAAGTTCGGCTCGGGACTGCGGAGGCCCTTAGGGCCTTTGCCCGAAGTGGCCCGGAGTGTGATCGTGACCCCGCGGATCTTCGAGAGGTGCGGGTCTCGCTTTGTCTCTAATGTCTCGCTGCCCTGGCGGCGGGAATTCCCGCAAGGCGCGCGTCGTCCGGGCCTGGCTCAGGGGCGGGGCGCGGCGCGGCGCGGCGCAAAGCGAAGCAGCCCGGCCCCCTAAGTTCCAGCCGGAGCAGCGGCGGCCGGCTCAGTCTGAGCGGCGCTGGGCGGTGAGTTTGTCAACAATCGCCTTGCCTTCGGCTGCCTGACCCGTAGGCGCCGCCCCCGCCGCCTCTGCCCATTGGTTACGAAGAGGAGCGACTGCGCGCGGGCCAATGGGGAGCACTAGCAGCCGGCGCCAGGGGCGCAGGGCTGGCGGTGCCCGCGCGGCGGCGGGAGCTGCGCGCGAGGGGCGGAGCGGGAGGAGGTGGAGGATGATCCCGGCGGCGGCCGGTGCAGCGCGGGCCACAGGCGCGGCGCGCGAAACCTTGGGCTCCCCGGCGGAGCTTGGCGGAGGGCGGAGGGGCAGGCTCGGGGCCCTGGAGCCCAGGACCCGGCTTTGTTTCCCTTGCCTCCTCGGTGGCGACGTGCAAGGGTCGTACGATCGGCGCAGCACGCCGCGCTCCGAAGGGAAGGGGCGGACGTGAGTCTCGGCGTGGTGGCCCGGGGAGGGAAAGAGTCAGCCTTGCGCTGAGTATTGCCAAGAGCGCGCAGTTAGGTGTGGAACTTTCAAAGGGATGTCTCGGAAGGTCCCCGAAGTGTGCAAATTCCGGCAAGGTTGCACCCGAGAGAAGTGGTTTAGTGTTTGGGGTGGCGCGCAGGGCAGGCAGCAGGAGGGACCTTGTGGCCGAGGGCGCCCGACCCGGGCGGAGCTGCGCTCGGAGTTACAAACTCTATTGTGACGCACTTACTACGACTGACGGCCGCTGCCAAACCTTCTCCAGACTTGCTGCCCTCAGCATTTTCGGCAAACAATGGGGCCAGAGCAGGGAAGGCGGCCAGCCGCCTGCAATCTCTGCATCTGCGCCCGCTCCTGTGCTCCAGCGCCGCATCTGAGCCCGGGAAATGAGAGCCCGCTGGGATTTTCAGACTTGATTCAAGTTTGTCTTGAAGGAAAAGCACGAAATGTAGACTTCCCACGAACTGCTTCTCCTAAAACTTCTGTGCTTGTGTATGTGCGGGAGCGCACCGACTGACTCCACAAGCTATGGAGTTGATACTTTGTTTTGTTTGGTAGTCTGATTTAGTTTCACCCTGCGTCAAAATAAACACACCTTCATTATTTTGGGTGCCCTTTTGGTCTTACTTGGAAGATAGAAAAGTAAACAACATAACATAGAATCTGAGGTTGACTCTAGAATTCTTAGCGAGTGGATGAAATGATTTTAAAATTTTGCTGAAGATAATCGTTTTGTTGTTTCCCTCCCCCTCCTGTTTCCTTGCAGAAAAAAAGACCAAATGGCCAAGCAACCTTCTGATGTAAGTTCTGAGTGTGACAGAGAAGGTGGACAATTGCAGCCTGCTGAGAGGCCTCCCCAGCTCAGGCCTGGGGCCCCTACCTCCCTACAGACAGAACCGCAAGGTAATCCCGACGGCGAAGGGGACCGCTGCCCCCACGGCAGCCCTCAGGGCCCGCTGGCCCCACCGGCCAGCCCTGGCCCTTTTGCTACCAGATCCCCACTTTTCATCTTTGTGAGAAGATCTTCTCTGCTGTCCCGGTCCTCCAGTGGGTATTTCTCTTTTGACACAGACAGGAGCCCGGCACCCATGAGTTGTGACAAGTCAACACAAACCCCAAGTCCTCCTTGCCAGGCCTTCAACCATTATCTCAGTGCAATGGGTAAGCCATAGCTGGGTAAGAGGCAGTTCGTGTGTGCTTGTTTGGATATCGGTTTCAAGGCTGTGGGGAGCATTTAAAGTCTCACAGAGTTGGTCAAGTGACTCATTCTATATTTTGATGGAAACAAGATGGATGGAGAGCTCAACAACAACAAAAAATGTAACTTGTAATGTTTGTATCGTGAATTTATGGATGTACAAACATCAACTTACTGAGCTGCAAAGTTTGAATCTGTAGCCTTCTAGCTAAAGTTTATAACCATGGTACAGTTAGTTTTAACCACTAAGCTTAGATGTTAATGTCATTGTGTAGGGAAGGAATCTGGTCAGATATGTAAAATAGTTTAATAACCACTAGGCATGTAAAGGAAGTGATGGACAACTTGATCATTTCTGAAGACGGCCTCTGCAAAGATGAAGTGTGTATCAGCAGAACCAGCATAGAACCCCAAAGATGAATTTATGCCACAGTTCACCTTTAAGCTCATTTTTGCTTCAAGGGATTAGATTTAGTTTGGATGGATGAGATTAGATTGTAGATTTTTATTTCAAGGGCTAAAGTCAGTTGTAGAATCTTCTAGAAACTATATTCTTAGTTTTCAGATTTCGTGCATAAAATTACATTTGATCAAACTCAACCACTTCCCCGACTTCTCCCTTTAATACTTCCCAGATCAATCGGAGAATCTTAACCAAGAGCAACAGAAAATATCTATGGTGATGCCTAGTACAACTGATGAGGAAACAGCTGATGGGACATTTTGGAGAGTTTTTACCCCATCAGCATTGAAGTTGCCCCTGACTATGTCCAGGGGAACATGAGTTCTTAGAATACAAGGGTTTCTATGTCACATCATAACCAGGCAAGCAGATTTTAAAGTCTAATATCCCAATCTTTAAACGTTAACAAGTGCTTTAGATCCTTTAGAGTCTGTGGAAAGGCAGATCGAGACGTCTGTAGACTTGATTTGACTCTTAAGACCTCTTGGCTTGTGCCTTGGGACACCCCCAGGAAGGGAGGACTCTGCACGCTGCTTCTCCACCAAAAAAAAAAAAAAGTGTGTATTTTGATCCTTTTCATCCACAATCATGTTTGGTATGTGTCTGGCTAGTCAGACTTGTAGATGACAGTTGGGACTTGCTCATGGTGTCACTTAAGAACATTTCCTGTATGAACCATTCTGGGGACTGTTGCGCCCTCCTAACTGAAAGGAGCTATTAGTCTTGTGTGTACTACTACTTTAGCTATTGCTTATAGAAGTGCTTCTGAACAGGAGCTTGCTACCGTTCTACCATGAAACACACCCAGTGTATGCATACATCTACAGCATGTACTGAGTTAACAAAGCTCCCTGGTATAAGTGCTTAAAAACCCGTGCATTTTAAGAACCCTCTGGAAGCTATTAGAGTCTAAATACTGTCGGCCTAGGTAATGGTCTCTGCAGGTGGTGGGATAATCTGGGGAAATATGTTCTCCTTTCCTGTTAACTGGGAGTAGTGGATGAGTTAGGGCATTTTCTAATGTGAAAATAGTCACAATTGTTTTGCTTTGGGTCCTGTACTATTTAGGAAGCTAATTGCATTGTAATTCACCAGGATTTGAGATGACTGATGCAGAGCTTTCAAAGATCACGGTCTAAATTCTTAGGCAGGGTTAATGGTCATAGCTGTGAAGTGTTAACTACATTCCAGTAGATGGGGATGATGTTAGCTTAAAGATTAATGCATGAGTTTAAACAGCAAGTGACTGGGGTTTGTGTAACGTTAATACACCAAAGTAGGTTTTTAACAATAAGTTCTTGAGAGATTTGTTTGGGGAGAGGGTGTGTTGGGATGGGATGGGGCAGAAATTACTGACAGGGTAAGAGGACTTAGCCAGATGTGAGGTTATTAAATTAGATACACTCAGAGTTGCTGTCTACCACTGGTGCTTTTCTGAACACCCTAGCAATCTTACTTCTGCCCGTAGACTACTTGGGCTCAGCTAAGAAGTGATCTCTTTATCTTTTGGACTTGTTTAATATTTTTTACTCAACCACTAAGATCCTCAATGCTGCTTTTGATAAGTTATTGCAAAATACATTTTTCACAAAGGCGCCTTTATGATTGGTATGAACCCCTGGTTACACAGAGGTCCAGCTTAACCAAGGGCTCCTCTTCTCCCCTGGCGAGTTGTGGTAAGAGACAGAGTGTGTCTGAAAAGCCATGTCCCCCTCTCCACTGATGTATTGAGATTGAACCTAAAGCTTTCTCCATTAATGCAAATTCTTCTACAGAGCTAAACCCCAGGTCCTTGTCTCTTTACTGTAATGAGAAAGGAAGGTCTCATTGGAGATACATGGCAAGCAGATACTGTATTAGAGATGTGGGCACAGTTTCCTCCATATCCCATTGTTTTGAAAACATCTTGCAAGAACATTTTGTTTACTGTTTGGAAGTCAGTGTAGTGAAACTCTCATTTTACTCGATATTAGCCTCCATATATGCTAGGAGTATTGACTTGCCAAACCATTTCTTAGTGAACAGCTGATTATCTTAATACAAAACCTTCCCTACACCCACTGGCTGCCTTTTCTAGCATCTTTATGCTACATATGTTTTTCACACCAATTGATCTTTGCACACATTCTCAATCTGAAGCATCGTCAGTGTGACTTGGAAATGCAAAGCAGATGAGTATTGGTTGTCAGTAAGGACTCTGAGGTGTTTGTGAATGTCTTCAACTTTGGACTAGCATAGCAGAATTGCATCATCTTTACACCCCCTCAGTGTCCTATGCAGTTTTGCCCCTGCTTTAGATTGAGACCTTCCTGTGGATGCCAGTGTGTAGCTAACAGAAGACGTTGGAACCTGTGGAGCTCTGTCTGTGAGCCTGTCCATGGAGTTGTGTTTTGTTCTTACAGTGTTGGGAATGGAGCTCAGATCCCACATAAAGCACATATCTACTCCCAGTGTATCTGTGGTGGCAGGGGGGTGTCCCCTGACCTCCGAGTATGTGCCCCTATTATAGACACAAAAACATGCATACATATTTACATGAGTGAATGAAGTAAATTCTTGGGCCATCTCCCTAGACACTCAGGTCATCTGCACATAGCGGGTGGCTCATTTCTTTTATTTGTCTTATTGCACTGACCAGAGGGTTGTAATCTTGTTGGATAGAAGTGATAAAGGTAGTCTCAAGGATCGTCAGCTTTCTGTCTAAAGAGTAAAGTCATTAACTAGATTAGCTATAGGTATTTGGGGATGCTTGTTAATAAAGATTAGGAAATTTTAACCAAACTTCTAAGTTTTGAGAATTTTCAGAGTTAGGTTTTAATGAAGTGTTTGTACCATGATTCTTTTAGCCTGTTGGTGTGGTGTAGTACAGTGTTTAAACACTGTTAAATGCTCTTATATGCCCAGGTTAAATTCTACGTGAGTAAAACGTAATTGTGTACAATGCTGGATTGAATTGAGTATTTTTATTATTTTTACACCTTGAAAGGTGTTTGTAATGCTGTTTGCTTTCTACATAAAGGCCTGAATGAGTTGAGAAATATTCCCCCCAGAAGAAACTATGAAAAAGTAGTATTAAGTTTTGAAATTTTTTGAAACAGGGCCTCATGTAGCCCAGGATGACTTTGAACTTGTGTAGCCAAAGATGTGCTTGATCTTCTGGTCCTCCCAACTCCATCTCCCAGATGCTGAGATTACAGACATGTGCCACTATGCTTCTGCCAGAGACTTGACACTCAGCCCAGAGTATCTCCTGGTGATATCAGAGCACACTCTTCCCTGGTTGGGAAGGGGATTGTGAAGGTGGGGTGACTGGATATCTCTACATTGTCCATGCCTTTAAACTGTGGGCTCCCTTTGCTACAGTCAGCTTCTGTGTTCAGTCATCCTTTCCCTGAGCCCCTTTGTAAAAACAAACAGTTTTTGGTGAATTCTCTCTCTTCCTGTTGGGGCTTCCCAGGTAGAGATTTCTGGAGCAACCTGCCTGGGCTCTGTGAAGGCAATGAGAAGACTAGGTAACTGCCCCAGGGTCTCGTGCTGAAAGCCCAGAAGCCCACCCCTTTCTTCCTTTCCATTTTCCATTTCTTTGCATACAGTGTAAGGGCTCTCTTATGTTAAAGGAGGAGGGCCTGGCTATGGAGCTGGCCTTTCCTTGGGGAAACAGGTCTTTATCTTTCACCTAGGTCTTGTTTGTCTTTTACGATTTTTCTTACACTGTTTAGGATGCTATGACAATTCCAGGCTGCGTGTGGCTCAGTGGTGTGGCTCACAACTCCAGAAATTGAGACTCTAAGATCAAGATAGATTCAGTGTCTGGAAAGCTGCTTGGCTGAACAGCAGCATCCCCAGGGTGTCATCACTGGGAGAGAAAAAGTTGTGGTGTCTCTAAAGTCAGTTAGCACACCCAGAAGACCCCACATTTAATACAGACCATTTAGTGGCTATGGAACATCAATTTAGGCTAAGGTTACCTTGCTTGACTTTGGCCACAGAGAATTCAGGATTTTAGAAATCACCTCTCTTGTTTGCGTTTTGCTATTGTCTATATAGAATAACATTAGAGACTTAGCAGCCGAGAGTGATAGTACACACCTCTAATCCCAGGAGGAAGAGGCAGGTAGATCTCTGAGTGTGAGGCCATCCTGGTCTACAGAGAGAGTACTTGGACAGCCAGAGCTGTACACATAGAAACCTTATCTCAAAAAAAAAAAGAAGGAAAAAAAGAAAGAGATTAAGAGATTTAGCTACAATCCTCTTTTAATAATTATACTGTCTGTCATTATTCTCATTTGCCCTTTGTGACTAGTGGCATAGCCTCAGGCTGTTCTCTGTTGCTTCCTGTATGTTTGGATAACTGGGTCTAATTTCAAAATGGATAATGTCCCTTGGGGTATTTATTAAAGAGAGTCCCAAGTCTGATAGTTGTGTGTGATTGGGTTCTAAGAAGAGATGGACTGGAGAGGCATTGGTTGGTTTTAGTTTGTGTGCAGGGTGCTAGTGGAA